AGCTTTCCAGGTGGGCCCTTCCCAAGCGGCTCGCGGGGGTTTGGGCTCTGCTCCCAGGAACAGGGACAGCACAAGGGGAAAAGGGCTCAGGCTGGAGCAGGTTGGGTATCAGGAGGAATTTCCCCATGGAAAGGGAGCTCAGGAATTGGAAGTGCCCAGGGGGGTTTGGAGTGTCCAAGGAGTTCCTGGATGTGGCACTCCTGGGCATGGGGCACTGTGGTCTGGAAGGGCTTTTCCAACCTGAATTATCCTGTGATTGTCCAATAAAATCAACACACCAATTTTCAATTCTATCCTGCTAAAATCAGTCACAGATAAACTAGACAAACAACAGAGGAGACACTCCTTAAACAACAAAAACATAAAGCAAAATAAACACAATCCTTGCTGTAAAAGCAGCTGTGCAAATACAAACCTAAAACATAATCCACTTAAAATGCTGTAAGAATTGGAAGTGCAGTGGTGGATTTCATCATCCATCTGATTTTCCTGCAGGGAACTCACCTTCAAACTGCTGCTGACTCAGTCTCCTCCTTGGCAAGCACCTAAGGCAGGGCTGCAGGGACAGAGTTAACAGGGCTGTGCAGGATCAGCACAAGCTCACCCAGCCCCAGACTTGGGAGGGGAAAGAAAGAGAGAGAAAAAAAATTGTCTAGAATTTCTTGTGCAAATCATTTGGTTTTAAAAAGCTTTGCCCCAGGCTGTAAAGCCAAAGCAGTGTGACAGCATGGTGAGGCAGACACTGGAGCTGCTCTGTGTCTCTTGAAGCAGCCTAGGAAGGGAAAAACTTCTTGGCTCTCACTGCAGCACAGAGAGTGAGCCAGACTCTCCACCAGTGCTGAGAGCAAGGCAGCTCAGGGATGGCAATATTCAAAGAAAAAAACCAAAACCACAAACAAAACCAAAAAACCCCACTGAATGCTCCCCTCCCATGGTTCACTATGAATTTTAAAATAGGAGGTTTGGAGGAGCTTTGGCAGCAGGCAGAGATTAAGTAAATAATCACTGTGTGGGAACACAAGCTTTCCAATTCACCAAGTGCACTGTGGAGCTGGAGAGATCCCATACGGAGAAGTAACACAAATTCATTCAATAATGAGATGTTTTACTATTTACTTGGCTTATTTAATTGAGTAGGGGAGGTATCTTAAATATCAGGTTCAAGGCTTTTAAAGAAGGTATCACTACAACAAAGGGAAGTGAAGGAACCAAAACACAGAGTGGTTGTTCTTGGTCAGTTTTTGCTTTGTTTGGCTTTTAAAGACAGCTCCTGGTGGCTGCAAACTCCTCAAGATCAAATTCCAAACTAGGAAGAACCCTCTATACCCACTACACTTGCAGAGATTTTCATTCTGTCTTTGCAAGACCTTCCATATCTCAGAAAAAATGGTGCAAAACCATCCAAACAGTCCCCACCACTACTGGAAAGGACTTGGCAGAATGCTGGATTATGAAGGCAAAAACTGCATGGAAGTTCTTAGGCTAAAGATGTAAATAAAATATTTGGAGTTTGCATGAGTAATTTCAGAATGTATAGTCTGAAGCTTCCTGTTCATGTAGTAAAATTGAATCCATTTCTAAACATTTCTGATTGAAGCAGGCTGAGTAAGAGGTTAAAACATGCAGGAGTAAAGCGATTACTGCCTCTCCCTAAGGCAGTCATTAAAGTTCAGGATCAGTTAGCGACTGTGGTGGAGATCTTTATCTAGAAAAGCAGGTAAATAAAGTCACAAAACTTTGTGAAACCACAGTAGCAAACGTGACAGAGCAACTGTTGAGCCAAACATAAGCAGAGCAGAAAATAGCTCTATGGAGGGAATGTCTTTTTCCTGCAGTAGGAATACAAAGAAAATTCATTTTCTACACAGACTCCATGGCCAGCAGAGTGAATTTGAAAATGAAGAATACTTTGTTCTCTCTCAACACCTTACCCAGGAAAAACCACCAGAAACACACTGCCCTGATATTCTGACCTTCAGAGCATATTTCAACTTCAATTCTATTTTTAAATGAATTGCTGGGAAAAGGCATGAGTCACAGCCCTGCTTGGATCCCCTGCACTGGACACTCACCAAGGGCTCTGCTCACTCTGAACTTTCCCAAGTCACAGCAGCTCCTGCTTTAGCACCTCAGTGTGAAGAACAGGAATTCCAGCCAGGAATCCTGGATTTCGTGTCCACCTTGACCTTCCCAGTTCTGGCCCAGATGTTGGCTGCACACATCAGGGAGCTCTGGGATGCTGCAAAGGGTTTCTGCCAGCAAGGGATCCCAGCTCAGCTGCACCTTCCCTGTGCTCAGGCTGCAGGGCTGACTCCCAGGGAAGATCAACAAAACCTACAGAGAGGCCTCAGGGAAGCACAGGTGAGAATTCAGGCTCTGCACTCACAGCTGGAATCTGGAGGGTCCCACAGCCAGGCACCTGGAGAATCTCCCTGTTCCAGCAC